GACTGGCGGCTAACCCGGGTATGAGGTGGGATCAGATGGATCTGCCTCTCTGGATGAAGCTAATGATGGCTCAGAAGGCGCAGCCCTTTCAAAACTCGGCCGGCGCGAAGGGGCAGTCCGCCTCGTCGGCCGCTTTACAAAAGGGCTTCTGCTGGCTCTACAACGAGGGCCAGTGCAAATGGGGAAACGCGTGTCGATTTAAGCACGAGTGCTCCGGTTGCGGGGGTGCTCATGGGCTCAATCACTGTTTCAAAAAAGGGAAGGCGGGAACCGCCGGAGCGGCCGCCGGGGCCGGAGGGAGTGCTTCCCCTGCCCCGGGGCTTCACACCGGTGAGGCTAGACGCGATGGAGCCGTGGCTAAGCCGCTACGGTAACAGGGCTGATGCCTCGGTACTTCGGGAGGGCTTTGGGCGCGGTTTCTTTATCCCCTTCCGGGAGCGGGGGGGATCGGGTGGGTTGCGCAACCTGAAGTCGGTGGCGGATTTCCCGGGGGTGGTACGGGAAAAACTAGACAAGGAGGTTAAGCTAGGGCGGATGGCGGGCCCGTTCACGGTACCCCCATTGGAGGGCCTCCGGGATTCCCCTCTCGGGGTGGTGCCAAAGAAGGAGCCGGGGAAGTTCCGGCTCATTCACCACCTCTCCTACCCGAAAGGGGAGTCGGTGAATGACGGTATTGATAAGGACTTGTGCTCGGTCTCGTATGCATCATTCGACCGGGCGGTCGAGCTGGTAAAACGGGCCGGGCATGGGGCGCTTATGGCCAAAGTGGATGTTGAGGCAGCGTTTCGGCTCCTGCCGGTCCACCCGGACTGTCACCACCTGCTGGGGTGTTTTTTCGAGCGGAAGTATTTCGTGGACTTGTGCCTCCCAATGGGCTGTTCCATTTCATGCTCCTATTTCGAGAAATTTAGTACTTTTCTCGAATGGGTGGTGCGGGTGGAGGCGGGGAGCCGTTCAGTAGTGCACTACTTGGATGATTTCCTTTGCGTGGGGCCGGCTGCCTCCTCAGCTTGCCAGCAACTGCTTAGGACCATGGAATGGGTGGCGGGCCACTTCGGGGTGCCGCTGGCTGCGGATAAGACGGAGGGCCCGGCGACGTGCCTTAGTTTCCTGGGGTTGGAAATAGATTCGGTCTTGGGTGAATGCCGGCTGCCTCGGGACAAGCTGGAGGGGCTCAGAGATGCAGTGGCTGCGGTGGCCGTTGCGCGCAAGGTTACGCTGCGGCAACTGCAGTCGTTGATCGGGATGCCGAACTTTGCATGCCGTGTAATTCCTATGGGGAGGGTTTTCAGCCGCAGCCTGGCGGCTGCTACGGCAGGGATTCGATCCCCACACCACTTCATACGGGTGTCGGCAGCCATGAGGGCTGATTTGGGCGTTTGGGATGCCTTCCTGCGGGATTTCAACGGGACGGTGTTTTTCCGGCAGGCAGGTAAGTCGGCGGCGGAGCTGGAGCTCTTCACGGATGCGTCGGGTAGTGTGGGCTTCGGAGCCTACTTCGGCGGGAGATGGTGCGCGGAGCGGTGGCCGGAGACATGGGGGTCCAGCCCGGTCATGCGCAACCTGTCTTTTCTGGAATTATTCCCGTTGGTCGTTGCAATGGCACTGTGGGGCGAGGGGCTCCGGGACCAGAAAGTGGTCTTTTTCTCGGATAACATGGCGGTGGTGCACGCGGTGAATAATCAATCGGCTGCTTCTAAGCCAGTGGTTAGGTTGCTGCGGCGCTTTGTGTTAATGTGTATGTCACGGAATGTTGTTTTTCACGCGCGTCATGCCCCTGGGTACCTGAACAAAGTGGCTGACGCTCTGTCTCATTTTCAGTAGTCCCGATTTTGGACGATGGCGCCAGGGGCATTGAAGGAGGGGCAGGCTTGCCCGGACGAGATATGGCAGCTGGGAGCATCCTGCTTGGGGGACTTGTGAAGGCTTCGCTGGCACCGGCCACATGGGCCTCCTACAGTAAGGTCTGGGACTCTTGGGAACGGTCATTAGACGGGTTGGATCATGTCTTACAAGGGGATGCGCTGCGGGACGCTTTTCTGTGGTACACCTGTCAATTGCTGGCAAAGGGGGCGTCCCCGGCAGTGGTCGACAGGTCCATGGCGGCAATGGCATTCTGGTTCCGGTGGCGCGGGAAGGAGGATCTAACCAAGACCTTCCTGGTTCGGCAGGCGTTAAAGGGTTATCGAAGGGGCCGCAGGTCATGTGACTCTCGGCGCCCGGTGTCTGTGCGGGTGTTGGGGGATCTGGTGGGTCTGTTGCCGGAAATTTGTTTCAACGGGTTCGAGGTCTCTTTGTTCAGAGCGGCCTTTCTCCGGGCATTCTTCTGGGCGTTCCGCGTGGGGGAGCTGGTGAGTGCCAGTAGGGTCGTGCCCGGGGGTTTGCAGGCCTCGGGGGTTCGTGTTTTGGAGGGTAAGGTGGTTGTGCATCTGGGTAAATCAAAAACAGACGTCCGCGGCGTGGGTCGGGACGTAACACTATGGGCCCTACCGGGCGCAGTATTGTGCCCGGTGGCTGCAGTGGCGGAGTACATGGCCCAGAGGCCGGCGGTAGGGGGTTCTTTCTTGGTGCATGCGGATGGTTCTTCCCTGTCCCGATTCCAGTTTACAAAGGTTTTTCGGTCGGGACTAGGTAAGTTGGGGCTTCCGGCCGGACGTTTTGGTACTCACTCCTTTCGCATTGGGGCAGCCACGGAGGCCGCACGGTTGGGACTAGGAGATGAGGTCGTGAAGCGCATAGGGAGATGGGAGTCGGTGCGGTTCCGCTCATATGTACGTTTGGGCTTATTGGAATAATAATTAAAAAAAAAAAAAAAGTGTGTGTACATGTATGCGTATGTATATGTGTCTATATATATATCTATGTATATATAAGGTACGGGGGCGGGCATGAACGGGGGAGTTTCCCTTTGCCTTTCCCTCACGCTTGTTTTCTTCTTCTCCCCAGGACGGGTTGCTTGGATTGTGGGACATTCTTTTGTCTTCTGGGCCGAGAGGAGGGCCGCAGCTCGAACGCAGGGCCAGCAGCTGGGCTTTTCGAAGGACCAGTTGGCAGTCCGATGGTTTGGGTACCGGGGATTTTGCTGGGGGGAGGTTTGTGGGGCAATATTTAGGATGGTTGCGGGCGGAAAAACGCCGGACATAGTGGTCATTCATGCCGGGGGTAACGACTTGGGCCTTACGCCGCAACGACGGTTGGTAAAATGGATGAAGCAGGACATCAACAAACTGAGGGACCTGCTTCCGGGGGTTATGTTAGTGTGGTCGGAGATTGTCCCAAGGCGTCGGTGGCGGCATGCGCGGGATCCGGTGGCTATCAATCAATGCAGGAAAAAAGTGAACAGCTTGATGGCAAGCTTTGTTAGGAAGGTGGGGGGCGTGGTGGTACGGCACAGCGAGTTGGAAGAGGGGTTGCCGGGGTACTACCGCTCGGACGGGGTTCATCTTTCGGAGGTGGGTTGGGATCTGCTAAACTTGGGTTGGCAGGTTGGTATGCAGCGGGCGCTGTTTCTTCGGGGTGGCAGAGCTCAGACGGCTTAAGGGGTCAAGGTCTGAGCTTATGGCAGGATGGGGAGCTGAAGGAAAGGAAATAGGCTCCCCAGGATGAACGTAATGGAAAACAAACAAGTGGTGGTCATCGGTGGTTGATAGGTTTCGAGTCCTGTCGGTGGCTCAGAACCTGGTGGGGTAGGGGTATCCGGGTATACCCCTGCCGTGGCTAATGGATGGTTGGCACTTTACATCGATTGGAATAATGTTGATGTATGTTATATATATATATATGTTTATTTATATGGGGGTCATTGCCCTTTATATGTTAATGGAAGGAATAGGATGCGAGGGCGGAGTATGGGGGGCAATGACCCATGTTTTACTTGTTAAGTTATTATTATTATTATTATTATTGTTTGCTTAATAAAGCTGTGGACAAATTTCCCCATATCCCTTAGTGTCCGTGCGTTATTGGGTTGGGTTATGGGGTTATTGTCCTGGATTCCGACTGCCCAAAATGGCGACTATACACCTGTCAAGATTCTTGGAAGCTGATAAGGAAACTCTTGATGTAATTCAGGAAGTTCAGGATTAAGTAATGCAGGTTAGTGCCTTTCATTATGAGGAAATACAGATGAGTACAGGATGAGGCACTACAGGTAAGTTCTCTACAGAATGAAATAATATAGATAAAATACAGGATATTACCAGGAACAGAGATTCTTTATCAGAGCATAGACTTGAATGTCAATGCCTAAAAATGGAGACTACAGGGTTAACTGGTGTTCTATCTACCATTGCTGAAAGCCTCTCAGAACTGTGCAAGACTGTTTCATTGTTTCTACAATCAAGCTCTTGTATAAAACCAAAGAAAACTAAGATCGTCACTCCTTCCATAAAAAGCAAGAAAAGAGAACCTCTTACTAAAATGGAAATAGATAAAAGACGGCAAGACGACTCCTGCTTCTATTGTGGAGAGAAAGGGCACAGAATCACAGAATGCCAAATAAGACCTCCTAAACCTGCTGTGGTCACTAAAACCAAGAAAAGGGCTATAGAAAGAAGTACTCCTCCATGCAAGGAAACAAAACACAGTACGTCTAATCTATATAAAAAAGACATTCTTACTTGCTTACTTGCTCTGCCTTCAGATGACGGTCATTCAGAAGATGAAGTTATGAGCGAATGTCCTGAACCTATGGTGACTACGGGGACTACAATTCCCATCAGCCGCTCCGCAGGAAAGAATACTGCAAAACCCTGTTATGGTGTTCCTTGGCTCATAAAAGCCAGTGATGGTACTATTCTGCCTATAAAAAAACTCACCAAACATGAAAGAATCTCTGTTCCTGGTAATATCCTGTATTTTATCTACATTATTTCATTGTGTAGAGAACTTACCTGCAGTGCCTCATCCTGTACTCATCTGCATTTCCTCATACGGAAAGGCACTAACCTGCATTACTTCATCCTGAACTTGCCTAAATTACATCTTACCGAAAGACTTTCCTTATAAGCTTCCAAGAATCCTGATTTGTGGCATATTGCCTTCATTGAAGAATCTTAACTGCTTCAATTGCTGCATCACTGCATGATCTCGTAAGCAACCTGCATTATATTATTTTGCAATATACCTACCTGTTTCAACCTCTGCAACTCTGCATGATCCTGTATTGCCTTATCCTAAAAGGTATTTACCTATAACTAGCTGCATTGCAAAGTATCCTGGAAATCCTTAACTAATTGGTATAACTTCAAGCCTGCTTGTATACAAAAGACTTTATTCATTTACCTTCTAAAGATCTTGTTTGTGGCATATCGCCTAAACCCGTTTTTTCTCACAAAGTATCCTGTTTGTGGCAGACTGCCCTTTATTCTTTATTTCAGTAAATTTGCTATGTCTAATATGACAAAGTTTTAACCAATAACCCTTGCAATCGTCTCCTCTCTGACCTGCTCAGGAGCATGACAACAGCTCTATGACTTGCGCGACAAAAAAAGGATGTTTGAAGTCACACTCTACCATAAAAGGAAAATATAGAACTAAGCATATTTCAATGGATATGGATATATATATATATATATATATATATATATATGACATAAATTAGGACATAAGAAAGGGGGTGTGAGGGTGAAGCTGCAGAAACCACAGAATGTCACAAGTCAATATTTTATGCTTACTTGTCAGACACCAGGCCCGGACTGGCCATCGGGCATACCGGGCAAATGCCCGGTGGGCCGCGATGGCCGTGGGGCCGAGGCCGGCAGGGGATCTCCCCGGCCGGCCCCTGCAGGGCCAGCGCTATCCGAGCGCCGGCCCTGCTATGTGTCTCCGTGGGCCGGTGGGGAGATCAAAGATCTCCCTCACCGGCCCACAGACAGGGAGATGTGGCCGCCGGCTGGGTGAGGGAGGACCCGGCGGAGCTCTAACAAGCAGCTCCGCCGGGTCCTCTCGCGGGATTCTGAGCGTTACCGCGGCAACGCTCAGATCTCGCGAGAGTGAACTCTAACCTGCAGGTTAGAGTTCACTTTCACCACAGCACCACAGGGGAAGGCAGCATGGCTCACCACCCCCAGGCAGAACGGATCTCCTCCTCCCCCCTCCCAGGATAAAGGTAAGAAGGGGGGGGGGGATATATAAATATATATTTTATTAATAAAATAAATATTTAAATTTAAATAAAAAATACATTCACACCCCCATACACAGCACCCCCAGACACACACAGCACCCATACACAGCACCCCCAGACACACACAGCACCCACAGACACACAGCACCCAGACACACACAACACCCAGACACAGCACCCCCCAGACACACACAGCACCCAGACACACACAGCACCCCGCACACAGACACACACAGCCCCCAGACACACAGACCCCCAGACACACACAGCACCCAGACACACAGCACCCGGACACAGCTGCAGACAGACCGGCACTCCCAGACACACACAGCACCCCAGACACACACAGCACCCCAGCACACACACAGCACCCCCAGACACACACAGCCCCGGGCACACACAGACCCCCAGACACACACAGCACCCAGACACACACACACCGAGACACAGCACCCAGACAACACACAGCACTCCCCAGACACACACAGCAGCACCCCGGGATATATATATATATATTTTTTATTAATAAAATAAATATTTAAATTTGAAAAAAATACATTCACACTCACACACACACAGCGCCCCCAGAGACACACAGCGCCCCCAGAGACACACAGCGCACCCAGACACACACAGCACCCAGACACACACAGCACCCCCAAACACACACAGCGCACCCCGACACACACACAGCACCCCCAGACACACACAGCACCCAAACTCACACTGCACCCCCAGACACACACTGCACCCCCAGACACACAGCACCCTCACTCACACTGCACCCCCAGACACACACTGCACCCTCACTCACACACACAGCACACTCCCACACATATACAGCACACACATATATATATATATATATATATATATATATAAAATAACCCTCAGTGAGTTAACAGACAAAGAAAATTAGAAACCTAGAATGTGACAGCAGATAAAAACACCCTCACACACAGCACCCCTCTTACATACACACACTGCGCCCCTCACACATACAATAAGTCCAAATATATATATATATATACATACACACACACACACACACTACAGCACCCCTCACACTGCACCACTACACACATTACGCTCCAGATACACACTAGATCCCTTACCCTATATGCACTCTTAATCCTCTACACACACACACACACACACACACACTGGGTCCTTTACACAGTAGATCTCCTACACACACACACTACATTCCTTGTCAGCAAACACATACAACATTCTCTAAACACACCCTCTCTGCAACCCCTACACACACTACGTCACCTATACACACACACTTCAGCCCGTATGCACACACTCGCTGCATCCCCTATAAAACTATGCCCCCTATACACACACTCTCTACAGCCCCTAGCCACACATATTACACCACAAACACAAATTAAATTGACCTATTTATACAATACCACAATACACAAACGCAATCCCACAAGCAGGCTCCAAACATATGCACCATGCACTTTCCTGGCCCTTTTGTCCTCTGGTATCCCACTTGTGGAGACACCAGAGACAATTTAAAAGCAAACACAGCACAAGCATGTTATTAAATTTGCTTGCGCTGCGCAGAATAAATTCAGGGCCTTTTTCTAATGCCAGAGCTCTTTAGCAGGGCTCTGCGCATTGAACCAACATGCTCACTTTGAGAGGGGGCATGTTGTCATTAGTGATGACAAAACACACACTTTCTGGCCCCGCCCCCTTCTTAGGGGGCCGCTCTGATTGAAAAATGCCCGGGCCTAATTTTTTCCCCAGTCCGGCCCTGTCAGACACTGAAACCTAGACCAAAAGTCCAAAGCACAACATGAAAGCAAAAACAGACTGGACATCCAGTCATCTTAGTAGCTTGCACATGGGGTCAAGGTACCTTCCATTACACTACCCACTTAGCTTTATAATAGTGAGAGGGCAGTTAATCTAATATCTGTAAAAAAAAAAAAAAAAATACCTTTAGAACTCTCCTTTCTTCATACCGTATATACTCGAGTATAAGTCGAGTTTTTCAGCACATTTTTTGTGCTGAAAAACCCCCACTCGACTTATACTCGAGTTAATGTCTGTATTATGGCAATTTACATAATACAGACCAGGACCGTCGGGCTCATTACAAGCCCGGCGGTCCTGTTGGGGGCTGACAGTGAGCGGTTACTTACCGTCCTGCAGCTCCTGTCAGCGCCCTTCTCTTCCGTGCAGCTCCCACTGTAAGTCTCGCGAGAGCCGCGGGGTCACCGCAGCTCTCGCGAGACTTACAGTGGGAGCTGACAAAAGAGCTGCACGGAGGAGAAGGGAGCTAACAGGAGCTGCAGGAAGGTAAGTAACCTCTCACTGTCAGGCCCCCTCCTACACAGCCCATACACTGGACCACCAGGGAGTGAGAGCCCCTCTCCCTGGCAAGCTAACAAGCAGGGAGGGGGGACGAAAATTAAATTAAATAAATAAATAAAAAATACAATAAAAAATATTAACATAAAAAAACTTAAAATATTAAAATAAATAAACTTAAAATAATAAAATAAAAAAACTTAAAATATAAAAAAAATTATAATAAAAATGCCCTCCTCCCACCCAGTTCTCACACACACACACACACACACACACTCTCATACAAACACACACACACACTCTGCATTATATACGCAAACACTCATACAAACAATCTGCATTCTACACACACACTCATGCAAACACACACACACTCTGCATTATATACACACAGAGTGTGTGCGTATATAATGCAGAGTATGTGTGTGTTTGTGTGAGTGTGTGTGTAGAATGCAGATTGTTTGTATGAGTGTGTGTTTGTGTGAGTGTGTGTGTGTGTGTGTGTGTGTGTGTATATAATTCTAAAAATCACAGAATTTCATAGCCCCAAGTTTTACCCTCGACTTATCCACGAGACATAACATATTTCACAATTGTTGGTCACAAAACTGCCCTCGACTTATACATGAGATCGATTTATACACGAGTATATATGGTAAGTCTTTTCTATAGCTGACTATTTAGTATCTATGCCCCCACTCACAGCATGGAGGTGAGGGCATAAGCAAGGCTTAAAACCTTCCTTATCTTTGCATTAGGGTCTTATTGTCTTGCATTGGGTTTTGCTATGCTTTCTAATGTGGCAACTGCCTAACAAGTGCTGGCCAGCCAGGAAAGGACCATCCACTTCATAATATGTGTAGAGGGTACTTAAGGGTTACTGGTAATTTAGAAGGGTAATAACCCTAGTTAGATACTTAGAAAATTAGAAGCAAAAAGAGAGGCACACTAAGTGTGAAGCCCAGTAGACTACCATAATTTGTAAATCCCTTATTAAGAATAAAACATAGTACTTTATTATTAAAAACCTAGTGTGGAATATAGACAAAAAACAAATAGTGTCAAGTTTCCCAACAAAGTGATTACGTGAAAAAGACCATATGGTTCACAAACTGGTTTAGATACTTCTCCCTCAGGTTCCTAGTGATTGCTTCAACTACAAACTTGCAACAAGGTTATAATACAGTGGGACTTCGGTTTACAAACGCCTCGGTTAACATAATTTTTGGTTTACAAATTAAAATCCATTGAAAATAATGCCTCGGTTTACAAAATTTTTTCGCAATACTAAGCAATTTTCCCCAGGATGCATTGCACCTGGGAGGTTTATAGCACCGTCCCCTGGATGCTGGAGCCTGTGGGTAGCACGTGGCGTCAAGTGTGGAGGTGTTGGAGTGGCTTTTCCATCGAGTTTTGGAGCCATTCTGGAAATTGTTTGCAGTTGTTTTGGGACTTTTTGGTGCATTTCTCAAGCTGTGGAAAGGTAGGGAGCTGAGCTTCGTCGTTTGCATACCTTTTATTGTATGTTCTGCATTGTGGGTTGGTTTCCATGTCAGCTTATTTTGACTCTTTTTCTGACCTCCAGAACGGATTAATTGGTTTTCAATGCATTCCTATGGGAAACCATATTTCGGTTTACAAATTTTTCTCAATAAGAAACGTCCCGGAGAACGCATTATATTCGTAAACCGAGGTCCCACTCTTATGGTTCAATATATCAATTAAGTGCAGGTGATACAATGTTGCTAAGGTCAAATAGCACTTATA